ATGTGACCCTGGACCACAAAACCAGTCTTAAGTCGCTTGGGTATATTTGTAGCGATAGCCAAAAAAAACATTGTATGGGTCAAAATTATCGACTTTTCTTTTATGCCAAAAATCATTAGGATATTAAGTAAAGATCATGTTCCATGAAGATATTTTGTAAATTTCCTACTCTAAATATATTAAAACTTAATTTTTGATTAGTAATGCATTGCAAATTTAAAGGAGATTTTCTCAATATTTAGATTTTTTTGCACCCTCAGATTCCAGATTTTCAAATAGTTGTATCTCTGCCAAATATTGTCCTATCCTAACAAACCATACATCAATGGAAAGCTTATTTATTCAGCTTTCAGATGAATAGTATAAATCAAAATTTCGAGAAAATGACCCTTATTACTGGTTTTGTGGTCCAGGGTCACATATAGCCTATGAGTTGAATGGACAACTTTACGATATCTTAATGGTGGTTTTACATCTTTGCCTGAAAAATGTTCCTTTCTTTTAATTATCATATTTTTCTCTTTCTCTGCAGGAGGATGATATAGTTTACTTTAATGCCAAGGATAATGTGAGTATATAATTCAAGACTCTTCTGCACACAGACACACTCAGCGTTTTTTTCAAGCGCAGATACTATATCAAACATGAATACCGTGAGCTCTTCTGTCCAGTTATGATCATGCGTTAGTGAGCTTATGTGTGAGTTATTTCAGGCAGTCAAGATATAATGATAATATATCTTCTCAGTTGACGCAGACTCGGCTGGCGGATACACACTCTCTGTGTGCCATACATCTCAACTGCCAATTAGGATGAGTCTGTGTAAAACACATGGTGGGAGCGTGTGCACTGGTGTGTAAAATACAAGACGGAAAGTAAAGCAGGAGGAACATATAGAGAAAATGAGGTTTTATTCATCAATGTGCAAAGCACTAGTTTGGAACAGATACAGTACATGCAGTGCAAAGCATAATACGATGATTATATTGATAGATTAAATGTCTAGAGATTTATTTTGAGATTGATATTTGTTGTAAGCTTTCAAATTTCATGTATTCATTTGAATAAAGGAGATTTCATTGGGATTTGATTAGTGACCAACTAATCTATCAGACAGGTCAAATAAAATTTATGGAGAATTATGGCAATTTTGTGTACATCTTACATTTGTGCACAAACTAATATTAAAGGGATAGGTCCTCCAAAAATGAAAATTGTTATCATTTGCTCATCCACATGTTGTTCAAAACCCATGACATTTTCTTCTGTGGAACACAAAAGGTTACTTCATTTTGTGAATGAATTGTTCTTTTGAGTCTAATCTTTTCAGTGAATCGGTTTATCCAGTTCACAGAGCCAGTCTGGTTCTTGAGTTCTCAAATCTCTTACTCAAAGTTGCAGTGGTTAATAGCTGACTAAAAGAGAAGAATATCATTTGTAACTTTTAAGTTATTTTGGTCTGTTGTCACCAGAGCATGTGAGCGAAGCGGAGCGGTGTGATGCTCCGCTACGTTTTCCGCTCTATGGACGTGCGCTCCACTCAGTCGCTCTAACCGCCCAAGCAAGCGCTCCGTTAATATTCCGCTCACGCTCGCCGTAAACCAATTCCCGCTCAGATCCCGCTCCGACATAAAATTTCTCTAGTAGGCCTAATTGTTTACTGTTTGTAACGAAATTTTTGGATAATTGTCTAAAATTAAGAATGCTGATAAATAGCAATTATCATGTTTCAGAACAAAATTCTTACATGCTTCTTAATTTTATTAATTGTAATGTATTAATTAAAATTGATTAAACGTATGAATCTAACCTTAGCAAGCCTACCTAAAATGCAAAAACTGAAAAAGTGTATTTGATTTTCGTTAACTTTATTTCCGTGAAAATAGCTGCAGTTGTTGTGCAATAGAACATTCAAAACAGGCTCATTAAAACACAAACGCACACACACACGAGATGAAATGTGCGTAGATTTTTACAAAATACACCTGGATTATAAAGCCTGTGAAAAGCACACACAAGATAAAATGCAATTAAAGAACGCTTAGATTATGAACTGATGTCAATGAAAGAAACACACTTTCTAGTGTCAAGTTAAAATAGACTATAACTGCGGGGAACTGTGGTCTATTAAAACGTCTCTTGCCATAATTTAGACTAAACGAAAAAATTAATTCTTAATTCGTGGCCATAATGTAGTCCTAGCATAAAAGAGAACTAGCCTATTCTAAATTCGTGGCCGTGATTTTGTCTGCAATCGGGTTTCCGTACAAACGAATATAACCTTAGACTACCTGTTTATTCATTTATTATGGTATGTAACTAGCTCACCTTTTGCTGTACCATGTTTGCGTAGCACATCCTCGTGCTTTCTGGCAATGTGCCGCTTCAGATTCCAATATGAATCTGTACTAACTTCAACAGTCTCCCCGCACTCCCTCTCAGTTTCTTCTCCCTGCTCATTCTTAACTTTGATTTTTTTACTTTACATTTATGTGTAAGGCTTGCAACTTCTTTGAAACAATATCTGAACTCCATAACTGCGCTACTATTCTCGATCTCTACAGATTCTCGATCTCTAACAAGCAAATCACCAAAGGACATTCTGGGTTGAGCGAGCGGCGCTGAGCGTATTGAGCGAGCGGAGCGGAATCTTCAGAAAGGCGCTCTGCGCTCTTAAGGAAATATTACCACTCCGCTCCACTCACATGCTCTGGTTGATGACATCTTTTTTTCCTGATTTTTCTGTGCATATACCATTGAACATTTTGGAATCGTTAAGATTTAAAAAAACTGTAATTTTGTGAAATATTATTTAAATTTAAAATAAATATTTGAATATAAACGTAATATATTTTAAAATGTTGTTTATTCCTGTGTTGGCAAAGCGGATTTTTTTTTATATGCTGATTTGGTGCTTAAGAAACATATCTCATTATTATCAATGTCGAAAACAGTTCTCCTCAATATTTTGCTGAAACGTTGATACATTTATTTAATGAACAAAGTTCAGAAATTACAGCATTTAATTGAAATCATACCGTACCAGAGTTGATTGCTGTTGTTTCTCTTCCAGCTTGAAGCCAATGAAACAGAAGGAAGGAAAAACCGGATCAGACCTGCATTTAAAGAAGACCCGTCATTCAAAAACCGCCTCACCTCCTACAACCATACGGCAGTGCATATCCCCACGGACATATATGACGGCTGTAAGTAACTCCCCCACCCCCCACAGACACGCTTCCATAGCGCTCTGCCTGCTCCGCCGTAACATATTATCTACTGCTGGGAATCTGATGAGACGCTCTGCTGCTGATTGCTTTGGATGTCAGTTATAAAACGGAGTATAAGTGTGTCTTTGGAAGAGCTTTTGGAGGAGAATTATAGAATCCATTTGACAGCAAAGACTCTCTGGGGAAACTTTTGTCAGAATAAGTGCAGGTGCACTTGTTTGGATAAGCCCACGGTATGCGTGTGCATCTATTTAAACTAAATTTCACAATGCTTTTTAAGCAGCGATAGTAGTCTGGCCAAGCCATAGAGTCTCAGTTGGCCTGCTGGGATAGCGTCTGGCCCTTTGGTGTTAGATGGCTCTTCCCTATTGACCTTGTCATACACACTCACACACAAATGGAAGGCAAATACATTCAGGTAATTACTTTGGCCATTGTGCCCTTTGGTAAACAGAGTAGTGGGGTATTTGAAATGACATCAGGTCAGACAGATGTGCTCTGCGGTGAGCATAATGTTATATGGAGGATGAGTTTGCCGCCTTTTTAAATACAGAATACCGAATCACTTTAGAAATAAAGTGATGCTTCAGTCTCTTAGCACTGTTTCCAAGTCTTTCCGACACATGCTGACAGAGGTGGCTGCCCCTGTAATTTAAGAAGGGAGTTTCCTCGTCACTTGTCTTGTAATTGTATACCATTTTATGCAATTATCTGTGAGTCATTTCCTAATCCTATATTGCCATTTCTAATTTTATGTGTGAGTAATTTACTATGACTAAAGTGGAACTATTGCAAGTATACTTCAGATAAACTTTAAAGATCTTGAATTTCAAGACTGATATTATACAGAGATCATACAATCCTTATTAATAGTGATATTAAAACACATTTTAGGCATAATATTAAGAAATGTGTGCATTTTGCAATAAAGAAATACTCCAAATAAAGTTAAATTATAATTTTATATCAGTAAGTCTTAAGTGATATGTCAATAAAGATGTTAATGGATTGAAAGTATACTTAGTATGAAATAAATTTATTTTAAATAAATTATGGCATAGGTTTTTTTTTTTAACTAGAAGAGCTGTCTGTTAATTTTGTAATTTAAAGAAAGTATTATTGGCATATAAAGACTAAGAGATTCCCCCACTCACACTCAGTAACTAACATTATTATATTCTGCAATGCTATTGAAATGGTGTTACGTGTCAGTGCGATATGGCTTAATGCAATTAGCAAATTGGAAATGCAGCAATTTATTTACACAAATATATAGTCTAATGCGCTGCATGTTTCAGAGTGATATGCAGCACTGTGTTCTTTTATACGCTAGCAGCTCGTGATTCAGTTATTTCAGTTTCTCAGTTTGCAGTAAAACTTTATCTCTGCTATAATAATAATAATAATAATAAATATTTTTTATTTTTATTACTAATGTTAAAGGAACACTCCACTATTTTTGAAAATAGGCTCATTTTCCAACTCCCCTAGAGTTAAACAGTTGAGTTTTACCATTTTCGAATCCATTCAGCCGATCTCCGGGTCTGTCGGAAGCACTTTTAGCTGTAGCTTAGCATAGATCATTGAATCTGATTAGACCGTTAGCATATCGCTCAAAAATTACCAAAGAGTTTCTATATTTTTCCTATTTAAAACTCCTATGTAGTTACATCATGTACCAAGACAGACGGAAAATGAAAAGTTGCGATTTTCTAGGCCGATATGGCTTATGATATGTAGGATATGTAGCCAAAAAAAACATAGGATATGTAACTACAGAAGAGTCAAGTTTTAAATAGGAAAAATATAGAAACTCTTTGGTCATTTTTGAGCGAGATGCTAAC